CCCTTCTTTCTGATCCTTAGTCCTTATATTGAGAATAATTACATAGTATTTTGGCTAAATTGTCAAGTTGATTATTTCAACTTTCAAGTTTACTTTGACCTGTTTAGAGAGATTTGGAAGCAACATGGGAAAACATCTGGTACACTGGGATGTCCAGCAGTATCAACGCAGTATTAGTCATGATCATCCTCAAACCAGAGAGGACTGTTTTGGATATGGAAATGTCCGGTTGATTCTAAATGACATGCACAGTTTCCTGCAAAATTCCTCATCTATGAGTGCTAGGGGTTTTCATGCAATGGGAAGGAAATGACCTCAATGTAAGGGGTAAAGTACCATCTCAAGCAGAGGATAAAAATAGATCATTTGGGTTCAGGTCCAAGCCTAATGTCACCTGTCTATTCAAGTTGTTTTACCAAAACTACTGGCAGAACTGAAATAAGTTTTTAAACCATTAAAGTCAATAATTCACCACCTTTTCCATGTATGTACCCTATTAAAAAAAAAAAAAAGTATTGGGGCTTAAGTGGGAAAGGAAATCAAAATCAGGAAGGGGAGGGATGGGGTTGGGGAATGAGTATAGGAGGAATAAGAGAAGTTTGAATTATTTTACCCCAAGAAATTTCTAATCCCAAGGTCAAAATACTGTCTATTTGTGAGGAGATCTCATCAACCTAACATCAGCAGAGTGTGCACTTTGATTCAGTTTTCCAGTGCGGAGCCGGATTGGTGCCTATGTATATGCCCTCTGTCACCATTCCTCCTGTGACCCATGATGTGTATTTTCTGGTTAGGGTGAGGGGGTGGCCCTGATTTAGAAAAATATTCACTGATCCATACACAAATTGGACTTAACACTTTGGCCTTGCTGATTTTGGACTAGCTCATTCCATAATTTCTAGATATGACTGCATTAACCTGCCAACGTTTTTCACAAACCTCACCAAGCAAGGACACATCACAAGTTAACACTGCCAATCTGTTTCAATGCCTTATTGAATGTTTGATCTAAATCAATAATATAATTAATAAATGTATATAGGCGAGCACTCTTGAGAACTTGATTAAGGATTTCATTCTTATAAAAAATGATAGCTCTTCTCTCATAACCTCTTCCTATCCTCATTTGTACATATTTTATTTGTCTTCTGAGTGAGTTTATTTCTGGAAGTAACTACCTAGAAACTTCAAACCATGAAATCTGAGAATCCAGAAGCATGTGGGTTTTGTTTGCCATATTTCTTAATCTCTTATGCCCTCTGGTGGTAAAATCAGGGGACTTGCTGTATTTTCATCTGAATTCTTTAAAGCAATACATTTCATTAAAATAGAATTTAAAAAAGCATTCATCATAATTAGCCACTTACTGAAAATAAATATATTTTAAGGATATAAAGTGCTTCAACATGGTTTATTTAATACTAAGAATGTGAAGTTACTGTAGAGTAGTGAAGAGTCTTGTGGTTGGTGAAACTTGCCTGACCTTCCTAGAGCAGGGTTGCCAGGCCTTCATTCTGGTATCTGTTTCTACACCTTCCCTTTTAAAATACAGAAGGAAACTTCATAATTGCACATGAGTGCTTGTTATATTTAGGCCAAGACCTCTCTGCTGCTAAACTACATCTAATAGCTTCGGTAGAAATGGAACTCTTTGAAATTCATTGCCTAGATTAAAATTAGACTGTAAGATACTTAATATCCACTGGGGTAAATTATCACTAGGAGTTAATTTACAGAAAAATTACATCATGACCTGGATCATATCCTCTGAAAATATGAGCAATAGTTAGAAAGCTAAAATAATGAGTTCGAGAGAGGGAACATGTTGATTTTGGGGAGAATTTATGTAAAAAATATATTTTCTGAAGCAAAGTATATTTAACATTTGAGAAGAAAATACCTTCTTATTTTGAGAGAATGTTAAGTTGTCCCTTTTAAAACAAAAGTTTGTAACCATAGATGGCAGGATTTTTAAATGCATTTTCTTTTTAATATTTTTTTATTATTTGAACTTTTTATTTTGAAAACTTTGTGACTAACAAAAAATTGCAGATATTGTACAAAGTATAATGTAAACTTCCCATACACCCTTTGCCCGACATCCCCAAAGGTTAGCATATTACCTAACTACGAGTTTCAAAACTCAGGAAATTAATATTGATACTATACTATTATCTAATCTACAGATGTTATTCAAGTTTTCCCAATTGTCCCATTAATGCCCATTTTATGGTCCAGGGTCCAAATTATGATCAAATTCATAGTGATTAAATTTGTATTTTACATATATGGTAAGAACACCACAGAAGTGATATTGTGGGTTTCTTAGTACATCATATCAGGGAATCCATGATGTTAATGTCTTAATATGAGAGATGTTAACTTTGATCAGTTGGTTAAGGTAGTTCTGCTGGATTTCTCCAATTCAAAGCAACTATTTTTCCCCTTGTACTTAATTCATATCTTATAGAGAAATATTTTAAAGACTGTGGAAATATCCTGTTTCTTATCCTATATTAGCCCCCTGGTGATTTTTAAATTTCTATCATTTCTTTGACATTTATTAATTGGAATTCTACTATAAAAAAAGAAAACTTTCTCTTCTCTCCCATTTATTAGTTATTCTATTATTTACATGTATTGGTATGGAGTCATGGATATTTATTTTATTCTATATGTTATAACCTGTTACTATCATCATTTACTTTGTTCTTCAAAGTGGCCCAGATTAGACGATGGGAACCTCTGACTTCTGTGCCCTTTCAACATGTATCCGTCCATCAGATTTTTTTTTTCCAGAAATTCTATTCTTTCTTGCACCATAACATGTTCTAGGGTTAATTTTATACTTTCCTTACCCCATCCCTGAGATCATTCATTTCTCCAAGAAGCGCTGGTTTCTTTTATTAGAGAAAGGCATCTAGAAATCAAAATTTGGGTGTTTGCTGTGTTGATTGCTACTGGTGTCATTATTTTTAGGCCTCTTCAACAGACAAATTAAAAAAAAATCTATGTATATGTAAACACGCACACATATACATAATCTAAATTTTTAAATTTCTATCATCTATCTCCTCTCTCTCTCTCTCTCTCTCTCTCACACACACACACACACGCACACACACACACACCATGAGTTCATTTAATTTCAATCCAATACTCAAAGTTTATTCTAGACATGCTCTTTTTCTTATTTATAACTCCTTTCTCTGACAGTAAAATAGCTGCTTCTCTGCTTCTCATTACTCAAAGTTTATTTACTTATTTGCACAATTCAAAAATATATGTGAACTAGTTTCAGTTACTAACCCATGCCACCCTAGGAGAATATAGGAACTTAATAACTGGCATAGAGTGTTTGTATACATTCCTTTTTATCTTTAAAGTATATAGTCAAAATACTGTTTTTCAAACTTGTTTCAGTTTATTATATTCTTCTCCACCCACTTCAGTGTAGTTTGTAATGGAGGTAGACTCGTTTGTTATTGTTTGAGTTGAATTTTGGGCTATTCCTTCATCCTGCTTGATTTGAATCATTTATTTATATTTTTGGTATATGAAATGTTAACGTCGTTTCTAAAAGTCAGAACTGTATAAAGAGTTACACTCAGAGTTACATTCTTCTCCAGCCCCCATCATGCCTCTCATCCCAAGCCCCTCCCCTTTATCCCTGTATGTAAAAGCAATCTTATTATTTTCTGGGTTGTCCTTTCTGTTTCTTTTGGCACAAATGGGCAGATACATATATATTTTATTTCTCTTTCTTTCCTGAAAGATACATAACAGATATCTTTTTACTTAATGTATCCCAAAAAACAATCCATATTCGCTCGTAGAAATCCTCTTTAATTTTTTTCCTCTTACAGCTTTGTAGATGTACATATTTAACCACTCTCCTGTATTTAGACATTTGCATTGTTTCCAATATTTTGCTACAAACAATGCTATAATTGCTAACCCTGTCTAAACATATTTTTGTATTATTGGAGGTGTATCTTCTGGGTAAATTCCCAGAAGTGAAATCGCTGAGTTAAAAGGCAAGTGTGTATGTAGTTTTCTTACATACTGCCAAATTTCCATCCAAAAAGCTTGTAGTTTACATTCCTACTAACAGGGGACGAGAGGGCCTGTTTCCCTACGAATGTATTATTAATACTTTTCAGTTGTTGCCAATCTGATAATATTATTTCAGTATAGTTTTAATTTGTGTTTCTCTAATTACGAGTGAGATGAAACATCTTTTCCTATCTTTAAAGTTCATTTTTATTTCTCTTTTGTGAATTGTCTGCTTGTGTCTTTTTTCCTATTCTAATGGATTTTTAACAATTCTTTTCTCCTCAATTTTAAGAATTCTTTATATATTAACAATATTAGTACTTTATCTATAGCTAGATCTATGATGCAAACATTTTTCTAAGTTTTCAGTTTCTTTGACTTTATTATTTTTTGTCAGCAGAAAAATTTTAATTTTTATATGATCAGTTATCAATTTTTTAAAATTGTCTCTGGATTTTGAGTCATAGTGAAGAAATCTTTTCTTATACCTAGGTTAAAGAGGAAATCACCCATGTTTTCATCTAGTACTTCTCCCCCAACTCCATTATTTTTACATTTAGATTCCTATTCCATTTGGAGTTTATGCTTATGTGTGGTATGAGGTATGAATCTAAATTTATTTTATTCTAAATAGTTATCCTATTGTCCCAGAACTATCTATTAAAAAGAGCCATCTATTAAAATTACAGCATTTTTCCTAGTAATTTGTGATACCACCTTTATCACATACTAAATATCCATTTGTACTTGGGCTTGTTTCTGGGTTTTCTGATCTATTCTCTTTGTCCGTTTATCTATTCATGCACCAATGTCATACTGTTTTAATTACGAAGACTTCATTGTATGTTTTATGTTTGATAGAGCTAGTCCTTCCTTCCTCCTAGTCTTTCCTTTTTAGTGTATTCTTGTCTATTCTTGCATGTTTGTTTTTCTACATGATTTAAAAAAATATGGAACTCTTTATGAATTTAGGTGTCATCCTTGCACAGGGACATGCTAATTTTCTCTATATCATTTCAACTTTAGTATGAGTGCTGCCAAAGTGAGTGCTCCACATGATTTTTTTTTAATATCAACTCGTGAACCTCCATAAAAAATCTTATTCATGTTCTTGTGTTAAATTTTACATTAATTTAGAGAGAATCAACAAGTTATTGAGTCATGCTATCTAAAAACTGGGAGTGTCTTTCCATTTGTTCAAATTTCTTTTTATAGCTTTCAGGAATGTTTTTCTTATATAGTTTTTTCATCTCTCCTTTAAAACTTATTCTGAAGTAATGCCATTTCTTGACTTGAGCCAGAAATAAACTTTTATTATTTATTAAGCCTTTGAGATTTGGTTTACTTTTTATAGTAGTTAGCCAATTCAGACTAATACAAGGCAGACTTAATTTTATTCCCATCTGAAAATAAAGAAACTGAGGCCATAGATATTGACAAATTTGCTCAAGGTCACAGAGAGAGCAATGGGCAAAACTGACCTTTTAATTCAGATCTTGTACTGTTAACCAGTGTGTAATACTCTTTCCTTTAGAAAAATACTCCACTGTCTTGAAAGAGAGAGAACAAGTTCATTCCTCACCCTCCTTTTCTTTGTCACTGTGGCAGCATAATATTAATTGTAGGGAACTGAGGAGAAGTATAGGAAGACTGCTGAATGGGTAATAGCACTGGAATGAACCAGCAAGCCACGTAGACAAAAAAACTATACAAGATTTTGTAGCTATAAAATTCATAAAAGTTCAGCTCTGGTCCACCTTTCAAATATTCCAAGTGTGCAACCAGCATGATTTTTCAAAAATGAAAATAGTTAACTGTCATTCCCCTTCCTTAAATCTTTCAATGGATTCGCATTGGTCCCAGAATAAAGGCAAAGATCCTTCACATGGCTTCTGTTTTACTCTCCAGGCTCAGCCTCACCCCATGCTTTCTCCACACTGGCAATCTAGCCATAATGAGGTACCCGCAGTACTTCATCCTTCGCATCTCATTCAGACAGCATCTCTTCCAGGATGTCTTTCCTCATCTCCTGCCTTATATACCTCTTCCATGCCTTCTGTAGTACCTCGGTGTAACTTGTATCGCAATGTATTTGTTTTAAATTTCATTTTATTATTAATTTCAAGTATGTAGTACATTGGTTAGACATTTATACAATTTATGAAACAACCCCCCTAATTGCTCTTTCTCTCCTCTGGCTCTCCATCTAGCCAATACATTAATGCTAACTGCTCCCCATCCCCGTGACTATCTATCAACTGCTAATTTGTACTTCTTTAAGCCTTCACTCCATTCTCCCAGTCCCCCAACCCCCCTCTCCTCTGGCCGTCACCAGATTGTCCTCTATCTTTGTGAGCCTGTTTTTGATTAGTTTGTTCTTTTTGTTCCTTAGATTTCGCATATAAGTGAAATCATATGGCATTTATCTTTCTCTATCTGACTTATTTCACTCAGCGTAAAATCTCTAGGTCCATCCATGTCATTGCAAATGGTAGGATTTCATTTTTTTAATGGCTGAGTAATATTCCATTGTACATATAAACCATAACGATGTATTTTTATCACTTAATTATTGTCTGTCTTTTAAACTTTTGAGGGTACACATCATGTTAGTTAATTTTAGATTCCAGATTCTAGTACCATGCCTCACATAGTAGGCACTTAACATATGTTTGTTGACTGAGTGAATATTTTTTTCTTATCTTTTTTGATTTCATGACATACTCATTTCTTCTTACTATATTTTCTTTTTCCCTGCATGAGAAATAATTTTCCTATATATCCTCAGGATTGTCACCATCATGAGCTGTGGGCTGTCATGAACTTTTCAAACTCTCAGGAGGAACCTCAAATCAATGATGTAAGATTTTTTAAAAAGAAAATAATCAACTGACATATTTTTGTCTTTCCATTTACTTTATTTTTCATATGGGAATGATTAGCAGTTGTCATTGAGATGAGTAATCCCCAGCCTTTTGTAAAATGCAAACCTGAAAATGTTCTTTGAAATCTGACCATGCCATTTCTAAAAGGCATCACTTTCTGTCAAAAGTTTGCTTCAAATCCGGCAATCGATATTTTACAAGTATCAGATGTATTCTCTGGACCATTTTTCTTGACATTTGGCAGTAATAAAAGCTATTGTTTATTGAGCTCCATCTATGTGTTAGACACTCTTCTAAATATATTACATACAGATTACTTTATGAAGCATTTTACAGATAAAGAAACTGAGGCATACAGAGGTCAAGTAATTTGTCCAAGGTGACTTAGACATGGCCAGTGATAAAAGGAACTAAGATTAGATTTTTCAGGGGAATTAAATCCAGAGTCCATATTCTGAAATTACAATAGACCACATTCTCCATCTATATTTCATCCAACTTCACTTTCTAGAATATGGAATGTTGTTTGTGTAATACATGTGTGTCTACTCTTATCTCCCAAGTGAGATCCTAAGATCAGAGGAAGTGTCTTATTTCTTTAGCCTCCACAATATCTAGTATAGTGCTGGACACATGGTGTGACCATTTCATAAACATGTACCCAATTACTCTGAAAGTTTAAAATTTTCCCCTGGTCTTAGGAAATTGTATATAAGGATTTTAACAAGTTAGGATAAAGTATCATATTTTTAAAAATCTCTTAATTTGTTGATCCGAAAGATGAATTTGTGATTATGATTATAATAGATGCGACAGCAACTTAAGAAGGGAAGGAGAGTCCCATGACAGCACTCATCTACTCTGTTTCCTGTCGAGCTTCCAGATGGATGTAATAATGCTTTGATGGATACCAATGAAATTGTGTGCTTTGTGACCTAATTGTTTTGTACCAAGACTAGTTAATAAAGCGTTCATTTAATTCATCCTCTTTCATAGTTTCCTTTCCTGAGGGCTGTGGCTCTTCTCTGAAAGAGGGATACGAAGTTTGTTGTCACTGTATGAAGGTGTAACTGAGTACTTCTTTACCCCAAAGACACCCCCAACTCAGCTTATGTACTCAAACTCTCTTGTAATAATGAGTGCCTTCCTGAAATACCTCTCAATGCTTGGGAGGTTAAAATATTCATCCATGTCACAATAAGTGAAGTCTGGGGAAGTCACAATGATACCAACCTCAAGAAAACAATAACTTTTCATTAGCAAGACCTTTATTCTTCATGCAAATAGACCCATGCAGACTACTAAACTTGCCTGTACATGTCTGAATTTACTGAATATATGTTTACAAAAATATATCTAGAAAGTTGCAATCCCATTATTATTCTCTCAAATCAATGCCAAATTCAAGAAAACAAAAAGAGAAATAATTATACATATTAAAGTTTTTCATTAAAGCTTTTATAGGATAACACCAAGTCTTCCTATAAGATTTGTCACATTATCTTTTTTATTAATAAGTACTTTTCTAATCATTTTGGATTATGAAAATAATAAATGTGTGTGGTAGAACTATTGAAAATCAGAAATATATTTTTAAGTGTTTACTTACTAATTTATAATCTCTTCACTCAAAGATACTGTTAATATTTTGGGATTATTTTTGTCTAGATAGATGGATAGATTGCAGGATGGAAACATAACTGCTACTGATATATATATATATATCATATATATATATATCATATATATATATATCAGATATATATATAATTTTATGTATAATTATATATGTATATATTTTCCACTGACTGAACCTTATTTCATGAACACTTTTCAAATCACCTAAGATTTTTCAATGACCTTTTAAAAGGCTTTATAATGTCTACTGTATAACTACATAATTTCCTATTTAATGGTCTGACATTGTTGGATATTTTGATGCTTTCACTGAGTGAACACCAAATTGCTCTTCCAAATCCTGTCTGAATTAGATAGAAAAGTGCATGATGAACTGCACAGAGACATAGAGAGATTTTCTAAAGGAATGAAGCCATCTACATCTGCCCAATAAAATCCTAGAACTAAAACACAAAGAAAAAGAATTTTTTTTTTTTTTTTTTGGTAAAAGGCTCCAGAACCTAGATGCTTATCTGAGCTTTATCAAAATGATTCAAGTCCAAGGGAATCCTGTTTGTGTCTGAAATTCCTCACCACTGTGCAAGGGCAAAAATGTGACCAGTACATCTTTATTAGATTTTTAGTTACTTCATTTTCTTAAGCCAAGCAGCAAATCTCACAAATACAACTTTACATGCAGTATTTTGCCTCCTTTGGGTGGTCATCACCTGGTGGGAGGACTAATGGGAAAGAAAATTGGAGACAACATCAAGAGGTGTTTTCTGAACCTTAATATTGGTATGGCGATATTATCTCTACTTATGCAAATAATTTTACCTTATCTTTGTTACTATGAGAAGTAAACATATTTACCTAGAGAAAAATGGTGACAAATTTATCAGCCAAAAAATCAGAAACTAAAAGGAATTAGATTAGTTCTAAAGAAATTAGATTGGGAAATGTAGCAAGGGAAATAAGAGAAAAACTTTACTTAATATTTTGTGCAATGGAGCACACAAGGCTTTTATAGTGTGGAAATGCAAATTAAAATATACACTATTTTATAGCTATCATATTGAAAAGGATTAAAACACCGAGTGTGGACAAGGATGTGGAGAAATGGAAACTCTCACACAGTACTAGGAAAGTACAGAGCAGTTACGTAACATCTTACAAAACTAAAAATATAAGTGCCTTCCCATAAAGCTTAGGGAAAATCAGAAAAATTATGTTTTTTTTTTTTTAACATGATAAGATATAAATGATGATGAAATATCAAGGTCAAATGTTCTGCATCCTTGCTAAGTTTTCGGAAAGAGACAGATTCTGGAGCACTGGTCCACAAGGACAGGAAAGTGGAAGTGCACAGGTAATAAAAAGGTACATTGTAGAGATTTTAAAAGCAGAAATATGACCAACTAAAAGTCAGTTTGCTGTCATATTATCCCCATATGCCAACATTTCTAAACAATATTCCCCTCTAAAAAATAAGTCTTTTGTCTAAACTTTTTTATAATTGTTACGGTTATTACACATTTTTAAACTACT